AGAGCAGTGAAAATAATCCAAATGATAGAACAATGATGGATATATAGTTGTTAAAAATTTGTCCGAATGCACTGTACAACACCAAGAGTGAATCCTCAGGTAAACTACGGACTTCGGGTGACTGTGATGTCAATATAAGTTCATCTTTGATACAAAATGGTACTGTTCTGGTGACTGATGTTGATCATGAGGGGGGCTATGTATGTGTGGGGGCAGGAGGCATATGGGCAATCTTGGTACCTTCATCTCAATTTATTGGAAACCTAAAACTTCTTAAAAAATAAAGTCTTAAAGAGTGGAAGGAGCATTGTACATTATAGGGTGAAGTAAATGGAGATTGGTGAGCCCCAGCCCTGACAACCAGCCCTCTAACCAACATCCACAGGGAACATAAGGATCCTTCTGTGGTTGTAGACATTGACTAATGTGAACTAAACTAAGAGAGTTCTTACCTGTAAGCAGATTATGTAGGTCACAGATACTAGGAAAATTCCAGGCATGAAGGAACACCTCAGGCGAGTTACAGAGTGCAGATGGATGAAATAGGGCCTCATCTTGCCTTTCCTTAGGGGAGCTCACAGTCAAATGAGCAAGACAAGGAGTCAGTAGAACACGGTGGTCACTGGTGCTGGCTCTGAAGTCAGAATGCCCAGGTACCTCACCAAGGTACGGGCGAATTTCTTAATTATTCAAATCAGCTTCCTCAATGGTAAAATGGGGGATAATATTACCATTATGCTGTGAGATAAAGAATATAAAATAATATGTTTATTACTTAAAATAATTCTTACCTATCTCCTTTATTACACAGATTTCATTTTTTTAAAGATTTATTTATTTATTTATTCATGAGAGACACAGACTGAGAGAGAGAGAGAGAGAGAGAGAGGAGAGAGAGAGAGAGAGGCAGAGACAGGCAGAGGGAGTAGCAGGCTCCTCACAGGGAGCCTGATGCAGGGCTCCATCCTGGATCCCAGGATCATGACCTGAGCCGAAGGCAGGTGGCCAACCACTGAGCTACCTTTTTTTTTTTTCTTCCAGATTTCATTTTTCACGAAGAAAGGCGGTTCACCTTCCCTGCTATTAACTTTAACCTTCATCTACTGATGCCTAGTACTCGTGCTCCTTATAGCCCTCTGCAGAGGTCTTCTAAGCAGTCAGGTGGGAGACAGGAGCCAGAGATGCAGGAGAGAGTTAGCATATCCCAAGGGCTGGGCCTTAGCTTTGTCAAGGAGAGTGGGGCAGGAGTTAATATTTACTATCTTAAGCTGTCCCAAGCTGTGCTAGGTAGGGATTTTACATACATTTTCTCAATCTCTTAGTGATTTTTATCTTTACAACTTTAATTTTACCTAGATCACTAAGGCTTAGACTAAGTCACATTCTCAGTAGCAGAATAGGGTCACAAAATTTAAGCCTTTTCCTCAGACTATAGTGAACCTGGATTTCTAGCAGTATTGCCTCATTCATTTGTTATTCTTTAAAGAATACTTATGAAGGCCTGTGGTAGAAGTTACTGGTTGCCCTTCAATATCTGCTTTCCTCTTATTTTTCCTTGATCATTGAATTCCTAATTTTCAGAAGAGCACATGACTTCCAAGAGTAAATACCTCTCTTGCAGCCAAGAGTGGCCATGTGTCTAAGTTCTGGCCAGTGGTATGGAAAAGGGAGTTCTTAAAAGCCAGAGGGTACCATTATTCCTACTTTGCCCCTTCCTGCTGTCTGGATTGAAGATGAAATAGTGGGAGCGTGAGCATTCATCTTGAGTCACCAGGGAAGCTACGTGCAGAAGATGATGGAGCAGCAAGTAGAAGGTGCCTGGGTCTGACACTGGAGTGATGATTCCAACCCTGCATGGCTCATATTCAGTCTTCTTTTATTTGAGAGAGAAATATTATTCTCTCATGTTTAAGGCACTCTTATGCGGGGCTTTAACTTACATGCAATCAAACCTCATACAGTTTGTTAACAGGAAGCCCCAAGGTTCATAAATGTTCTTGCTAAATAAAGCCACTTAGCTAATATTCCCTTTCTTAAGATTCATATTAACTGTCAGAATGTTTCCTTATTTAGTTATTTGAAAGATCTCAGCAACTGTTTTGGACATTGACACCATTGACAAAATTAACACTCTTCATCATCATTAATTGCAGCATTTAACACTTGTCATAATAAACATTCATATATATTTTCACTATGGAAAGTGATACTTTTTTAAAGAAATGACTATCGAGATTAAAAAAAAAATACAACCGAGATAACTGCAGTTTATTCACACTAAGAAATTAATGAAAGAGACGTAAAAAAGGCGTAATTTATCAATCTTGGTGAAAACTATTTGAAGGCACGTCAACAGAAATGAGGAGGTCTAGGGACGCCTGGGTGGCTCAGTGGTTGAGTGTCTGCCTTCAGTTCAGCTCGTGATCCCTGGGTCCTGGGATCGAGTCCCACATGGGGCTCCCCATTGGGAGCCAGCTTCTCCCTCTGCCTGTGTCTCTGCCTCTCTCTGTGTCTCTCATGAATGAATGAATAAATAAATCATCTTAAAAAAGAAAGAAGTAAGGAGGTCTGTAATCTAGAAAAGATCTTAAGATGGCCCATGTCTGAGCTCACAAGAAAGAAGTCTGTCATTGAGGCATAGTCTTTGTTTTGTTTTTGTGGAACAACACAACCCTCATATTTGGGTAAAACGGCCATCAAGACCATTCCACTAACTGCTTTCACTTTGCTTCTGTACTCACTAGGAAACTATTATGTGACTTGAGAGGGAGACAGAGAAGGGAGGATTCACCCAAGGGCCTAGCAGGTTTTACTAGAGCATCTGGCTGCCCGGTTCTCTCTCAATCTGGCACAGTTCATTAAAAAGAATACAGCTGCTTTTGTTAAGAACACCCATAAATCAATATCTGCTTTAAAATTATCTATTATTAATTTTAAAACACAAAATAAAAGACACAAAATAATTCTGAAAATTCAGCTAACACAAAACCAAGACTCATTCCATTAGTAAATAAAGACACACTTAATGATTTGACTAACGTAATGTTAAAATACAAAGATACCATATAACTTTACAATTGGAAAGATGAACTAATAACGTGCCCTTGTAAGAGAGGACCCAGGATGTTTTTTTCATGGACCATTATCTGGATTAGTGATTCCCAGCCTCAAAGGCACAGCTCTATCTTTGTGTTTTAAAGATCCTGATGCCTAGGCTGCACTAGGTGGGATCTCTGGGGACAAACCTAGAAATCGGTATTTTAAAAAAAGATTTACTTATTTATTTTGAAGAGAGAGAGAGAAAGCACACAGACGGAGGGGCAGAGGGACAGGGAGAGAGAGATTCCCAAACAGACTCCCCGCTGAGCATGAAGCCTGACTGGGCCCCATCCCAGGACCCCAAGGTCAAGACCTGATCCGAAATCAAGAGCAGGAGGGTAAACCAACTCAGCTGCCCAGGTGCCCCTATTTTTTTTTTTTTTAAGATTTTATTTATTTATTCATGAGAGACACAGAGAGAGAGAGAGAGTGAGAGAGTGAGAGAGAGAGAGAGAGAGAGAGAGGCAGAGACACAGGCAGAGGGACAAGCAGGCTCCATGCCGGGAGCCCCATGTGGGACTCAATCCCAAGACTCCAGGATCAGGCCCTGGGCCGAAGGCAGGCGCCAAACCGCTGAACCACCCAGGGATCCCTCCTATTTTTGTTTTTAATGCTCCGTAGATGATTCCAAAGTTCAGCCAAGGCTGAGACCCACTGAACTGGACTCGGGGGCTAATGTTTGACATCAGCTTCCACCTGACAGGTTTGTCTGCTTCTGTTTGTTTTCGTGGACTGCTGACATTATTTTAGTTCTACAGTCTTAGAGTTGTCATGAAAATGAAGGAAAACTCACAGGGTTCGCAGAAGCAAGAGGTGTTAAAAGCTTCACATTCTTCCTTCTTTGTAAGCCAGGGCATATCTGAAAGACAGACCTTAATGCTGACACACGTCCTGGAAAGACTCAGAGGTAGATACTCAGAAAAGGAGAGGTTACTTGCAAAGGGGAAAAGAGTCAGACTCGAGAACTGGTTTGCCAAAATACCAGTTCTTAAAGGGGAGAAAAAACAAAATAAAACAAACAAACAAAAAACCCAACAACCCCACAAGACCCTGCACAGTTGGGTCCCCCGGGGTGGCTCAGCGGTTGAGCCTCTGCCTTCAGCCCAGGGCGTGACCCCAGGGTCCTGGGATCGAGTCCCGCGTCGGGCCCCCTGCAGGGAGCCTGCTTCGCCTTCTGCCTGTGTCTCTGCCTGTCTCCCTGCGTCTCTCATGGATAAATAATAATAATAATAATAATAAAAAAAAGGGCCCTGCACAATCGTCAGAGTTCCAGGATGACATCATCTGTTCACGGTAGCGAATCAGTGACTTTCTCGGATGCTTCTCATGCTTACAAAAGTCGTGACCCCCTAGACACCCGCAAGGCGGGATTCGGGCTAAAATCCGTCTCCAGGGGATCCCGAGTTGATACTCAAGGCGCTACTATTCTGGGAATCAGAACGAGTCACGAGGAGGGCTCTGCAGGGTTGGGCTTGTCTCCCGAGAAGTTTAGTCACAGCGGAGGCAGTGGAGGCGGCGCATTTGGCGTTAAAACACCCGTCATGGGCGGCCCGGTGGGGGGGTGGGCAGCGGATGAGCCTCTGCCTTCAGCCCAGGGCGTGACCCTGGAGACCCGGGATCGAGTCCCGCGTCGGGCTCCCGGCATGGAGCCTGCTTCTCCCTCTGCCTGCGTCTCTGCCTCTCTCTCTCTCTCTCTCTGTGTGTGTGTCTCTCATGAATAGATAAATAAAATCTTAAAAAACAAAACAAAACAAAAACAACAACAGCCGCCGGGGCTCCTAACCCCACCCCCGAGGCGAGGCGCACCATGCCTGACCTTCTGCGCATGCTCCGCCCGGACGCCGGGGGGCGGGGCGGGACGCAGGGGGCGGGGCGACGGCCCGCGGGGGCTTGTGGGAAAGCCGGGGAGGCGGGGCCGGCGAGCGTGGCTGAGAGCCGGGGGCACCGGCCCTGCGGGCGCTAACGGCCGAGTCAGGTGAGCCGGCGTTGCCGTTATCGCTGGCTGCGGTAGGCGGCGAGGCTTTGGGGCGGCCTGGCGCGGCCGTGCGCCCCCGGGGGAGGCGGGGGGCGAGGCGCGGCGGCGTCCCGGGGCGTCCCGGAAGGGGCTCGGCCGGCGCGCCCGGGGTGGGCGCTCTGGTCTACCTGCCGCCCCTCCCCTCGGGCCGGCGCGCGGCGCTGCGGGCGCGGACCCGGACCCTCCCTCCGTGGAGAACCGCGGGGGGGGGGCGGCGCGGGGGGGGCGGGGCCCGCGTCCGCTCGGCGGGGGTGTGCCCTGTTCTCCCGGGTACCCAGCCCTGGAAGCTTCCGGTTCCCTGCGCCCCGCTCCAGCTCCGCGCGGGGACCGCGGGGGCAGCGGAGGGGAGGAGCGAAGCGGGAAAGGGTTGCGGCGTCTGCAGCCGCTCAGCGACGCGCTGCGCCTTTATTCCAAGTTTTGAGCCCCCAGCAGAGCGCGTCCTGGCTCTGTTGTGGTTGTTGTTATTTTATTTATTTATTTTTAAAGATTTTATTTATTTATTTATTCATGAGACACACCCACACACCCACAGAGGCAGAGAGACACAGGCGGAGGGAGAAGCAGGCTCCATGCCGGGAGCCGGACGCGGGACTCGATCCCGGGTCTCCAGGGTCACGCCCTGGGCCGAAGGCGGCGCCAAACCGCCCTGTTTTGTTTTAGTGACGGACCTAGGTCATCAGACTTGGGCACTGCTTGAAAAGAGGCCCAGATTTAGTGTAGGTTCTAAGGCCAGACAAGGGGTCGGAAGACCTGTCTGCATTTACAGCCATTAGGAAAGTGATTTTTCTTTCTTTCTTTTTTTTTTTTTTAAAAGATTTTATTTATTCATGAGAGAGACAGAGAGAGAGAGAGAGAGAGGCAGAGACGCAGGCAGAGGGAGAAGCAGGCTCCATGCAGGGAGCCCGACGCGGGACTCGATCCCGCGTCTCCAGGGTCACACCCTGGGCCAAAGGCAGCGCAGAACCGCTGAGCCACCTGGGCTGCCCCAAAAGTGATTTTTCTAGTCTGGGCTCCCGCATTCCCCTTAAGCGTTGACTCCCCGCTCCCACCTTTTTGGAGACTTTGCCCCATCCTTCATCCTTTTTCCTCTATCTCCTTCACCTTGATTCTCTTGACCCTCCCTCCTCCACCGGACTACAGTCAGGAGCGATCTCAGATTGTTAAAGACAGAATTACGCTAATCCCCATATAATCTCATTCACTCAGCAGCTCATTTTATATTTCCATTTTTTTCTTTACACCTCATTAAAATTCTCAATAAATCTTTACATGACTAAATACATTGCACTTTCTTTCCCCTTATGCCACCTTCGTGTCCATAGGCACTGCTAGCCTCGCTCACCTCGAAGTCTTTCTTGAAAGTTCTCTCCCGGGACGTACTCTCCCAAGTTTTCCTCCCAGCTCTCTAGATGTTGCTGCCCAGTTTTTCCTGTATTGGCATCTTCTCCCCCGTTGGTTCCTTAAATGGTAGTGTTTTGTAGGCTCCTCTCCCCCGCCGCCCACCCCAACCCAACCCAGGAGTCACAGTGATTAAGCAGGTCCAAATCCATGATTGTAACTTCCACCTTTATGCTACTGACACCTAAATTTATATCTCTTATCTTGTGTAACTATCTACCGGATAGGTCATCCTGATGTCCCATAAGGACTCCATTCAGCAAACCGAAATATTGTCTGTCTTCGTGTTCTCCAACCCTGAAACCTCTTTTCCTTTCCTTTTTTTTATTTTAAAGATTTTTAAAATCTTTTCTCAGTAAACTACACCCAGCGTGGGGCTCAAACTCTATAACCCCAAGATCAAGAGTGTCGTGTTCCACCAACTGAGCCAGCCAGGCACCCCTCCTCTTTTCCTTTTTTAAGATTTTACTCATTTATTCATGAGGGACACAGAGAGAGAGAGAGAGCCAGAGAGCGAGAGAGAGAGAGAGAGAGAGAGAGAGAGACAGGCAGAGACACAGGCAGAGGGAGAAGCAGGCTCCATGCAGGGAGCCCAATGTGGGACTCGATCCCAGGTCTCCAGGATCAGGCCCTGGGCTGAAGGCGGCGCTAAACTGCTGGGCCATTGGGGCTACCCCCCTCTTTTCCTTTTAAAATTGTGATTCTGACTCAAATGACACTGCTAATTTCAACAGGCTCTCAACCTGAAGTCTAGGACACTGGTTAAATCCTTTGCTCTCTAGCTGCTCAGTTGAATCAGTAATCAGGTACCTTTTATTTTACCTCTGTGATACTTTTTCATAGCTTTCAGATCCTGGGTCAGACCTGATGGCTTGGCATTTTGAAATCTGTCCCATAGCCACCTCAGCCTTCTCTTCCATCTTTCTTAGTCCTTCAGTCTGCCTGCCCACCTCTCCATAGTTAGTTAATCACTTGGCTGGCTTTTTTGAAACTTAGCTGGTTATAGCACCTCTGGGGACTCTCTTCTTGAACCCACCACCCTATCCACCATCTGCTTTATTCCTGTCCTCTGTGTTCAGTCCCACAGCATGTGTATGTGTCTCCAGCACAGTTGTTTTTAACCAGGAGTTGTTATGCTTCCCAGGTGACATCTGACAATGTCTGGAGACATTTTTGATTGTCACAGTCTTGGGGGGAGAAGGAATATTGCTACCTAGTTGGAAGAGGTCAGGGATGTTGCCAACCATCTTACAATGCATAAGACACATCTTCTACCACAAGGGATTATCTGGCCCCAAATGTCAATAGCCCCAAGGTTGAGAAACCCTGCCTACCATGATATTTTGTGGCTCAGTACTTCATTATTTTGTTTCCTTCTCCACTAGACTTGGGACCTTGTCTTACTTGTTTTTACAGGGCCTGCCGCTCACCAGAAGTGCAATAAATTTTGAAAAGGAATAGAGGAGATAATTAGGATTAGTTTATAAACTAGAGATGAGCAGAGAGTCTGCTACCATGGGCTACTTGCTAATTTTAGTGATTTCTCTCTCATTGCCTTCCATTCATATTGCATTGCAGTGATGCCCAGACAGGTCTGTTTTTCATTTGTTCATTAAGCAAACATTGATTCATTTAAAAAATAATATATTGATGTTTTCTTTCTTCAGCATCACTTTAGGCTCTCCTCTATGCATGTATTGTTGCCATTTATGAAGTGGTAAAAAAAAATCATTAGTTAAGCTTCAAAAACAAAACATAATTCTGTTTAATTCTTCTTAGAGATTGGTCAGAACTCTGCAGGCCATAATGACTTCGACAAATAAAGCAATTGAATTACAACTACAAGTGAAACAAAATGCAGAAGAATTACAGGACTTTATGAGGGATTTAGAAAACTGGGAAAAAGATATTAAACAGAAGGATATGGAACTAAGAAGACAGAATGGTGTTCCTGAAGAGGTAAATTTCTTAATTAAATCCTACTGTAGCGTCCTGCAAAACTATTTAAAATAAAGAACAGCCTTTTAAAATGTTTTGTGAAAAAACGGAAATTGAAGTGATTGGCTGCTTGTTAACATTTGGAAAAATTCTGCTTTTTAAAGTCTTTGTAAGAACTCTGTTAACTCTATTAAGACATTTTAAGGTGTAGCCAGTACTTATGGAAAGGAAGACCATGTGATAATTCTTAAGGTAAATAAATAGCATCATACAATGTTTAGGGGCATATATATGTTATACAGATTGTGTATAATTATATATTTAATGATACATTAACATCTAGTATTGGCATAAAATGTAGATTACTTATGTAGGTTCAACCAAATGTTGCCCTAAGACTGCATTTAAATACGGATAACTTTTTCCTATTGGTGATGTGGAGGCAGTTCAATTTGCTGTGATACTACTGCTTATTGACTGTAGTAATGCTGAAGAGCAGGCAGTTTTGGAAGTTTGAATTTAGGACTGCAAATTAAATGTATAATCAAAATATCTAGCTAATTCTTTCCTTGTGACTACATCATATTCAACATTTGTCAAAGAATGAATTAAACTTTTCAAGCATGAATTGTTGTAAGTGAAGATGGTAAATTGGTATTTTTAAGCACTTAAAAAAAAGAACTTTCTAGAAAATGTAATTTAGTGAGAATCTTAAATATTGCCAGTTATACAAAAAAGTGGTAACAGAGCAATGCTCAAACATTGTTTATTTTTTCCCATCCCTAGAATTTACCTCCTATCCGAAATGGGAATTTTAGGAAAAAGAAAAAAGGTAAACCTAAAGAGTCTTCTAAAAAAACCAAAGATGAAAACACAAAAAACAGGATAAAATCTTATGATTATGAGGCATGGGCAAAACTTGATGTGGTAAGTTAATCTACTTATGTGTTAGTATTTGAATGAATTTGTCTTGGAGTTAGCTAAGAGTCGTGGGTTAAATGAAAAATAATGTAAAGTTCTTACCCTTGTATCTTTCTCTTCTAGATTATTTTACATAAATCCAAATTTAATTATAATGCTTTTCAGTTAATTAGATTATTTTTTCTCCTGTAGCCCTTTTTCAGTGAGTAGTAGCTAAAACAGCCAGGATTCTTTTCTTTTCTTTTCTTCTGTTTTTTCTTTTTTCTTTTTTTCTCCTTTTTTCAAAAATAGTACATAGAGGTCCAGCATACTCTTCAGTCAGTTTACCCCTGTGGTTCTTTCTTCCTTAATTATAGTACAGTATCAAAACCAGGACATTGATATGGCACAATTTATGTATAGTTCTCTGCCATTTTATCACATGTAGATTTGAGTAACCACCATTGCATTTAGAATTCAAAAATAGGCATCACCACAGAGCTCTCATGTGCTACCCATTTATACTTGCACCTACATCTCTCCTTCTCACCGTCTCTAACCCCTAAGTAGCCAGAATTCAAAGATTGTAAGAACTCCCAGAAAGGAATGACTCTGCCAATATCTTTTTTATAGGCTGAAGAACTTGTTGGATACTGGCTGAAAGGGAATGCCTTTGTGTCTAGTCTTGGGCTGTGGGACAATAAAAGTGGGCCCATCTTGATCCTAAGAAGGTGGGCCTCACCCTTCTAAACCAGGGATAGCCAACGTGTAGAGTGTGCTTCCTTTATCCCACACATACACACGGTGTAACTGAAGAATTACCACCAGTACTCTGCCTCATAACCCTCTACATAGTGCTTCCAGTGGCCGTTGTAGCCAGCCTGCAAAAGGCGGTCTGTTGGCCAGCTTCAGTCTAGACTCTGACCCACCTTAAGGGTTGATTTGGACTATATATTCCTGTTTAGTCTTTCTAAAAGTGTTTATTATGCATCGATTCATACAAAAAAGTAAGTGAAGATACATGTTCTAAAGCATAACAAGAAAATGAGTATGTGAGCCCACCATCTAACTTAAAAATTTTCAATTCTGTTGAAGCTACCAGTGTGCTCCTTCCCCATCCCATCTTCTTTCCTTCCCTGTACCCCCAGAGATAACCACTCTTCCGATTTTTATGTTTATTATTTTATTTGCACTTTTATGTCTGACATTTTTATTATTTATTTTTTAAGATTTTATTTATTCAGAAAAAAAAAAGATTTTATTTATTCAGGAGAGATAGGCAGAGACATAGAGAGAGAAATCAGACTTCCTGCAAAGAGCCCCATGCGAGGCTTGATCGTGGACCTTGGGATCACACCCTGATCTGAAGGCAGACACTCAACAACTGCTGAGCCACCCAGGCATCCCTATGTTTAACATTTTTATTTGAGGTTGTAATGTATATACAGTACAGTGCGAAAATCTTAAGTGTACAGTTTCCTAAATTTTTGCTCTTGTATATACCTGAGAAACCACCAACCACATCAAGATGTAAGACATTTCTAGCATCCCAGAAGCCTTGCTTCTCAGTTGGTTACCTCCCAAAGGTAGCCACTATGGTGATCTCTAATATTATAGATAAGTTTTGCCAGTTTGGGAATTTTATTTAAATGTATCATACAGTATGCACTCTTTTGTGTTTGGCTTTATTGGGTAATTTTGTCTGAGATTGATCCATATTATCAGTAGCGGTAATTTGTTCTTTTTCATTGCTGATCAGAATTCCATTGTGTGAGTATATCACAATTTGTGTATCCATTTTCCTATTGACATACGTTTGGGTTGTTTCCCGTTTGGGGCTATTATGAATAAACCTGCTATGTACATTCTTGTATGTGTCTTTTAATGCATAGAAGTACCTGGGAGGGAATTTGCCAGGTCACTTTATATATACATTTAGTTTTAGAAGATAACTGCTCAATAGTTTTCCAAATTAGTTGCATTTTTCTTAATGAAACAGAGGCTAACTGACTCAAGATAGAGGTGGCACTACTAATTAAATAGTTTGCCATCTGCTTCAGTATTGTCCTAATGTAAGAGAGATGATTTTAGGTCTTGGATTTATTGCTGTGGGAAATGATACTTTCTGAACATAATTTTTTTCTCTGCTGAGTATTATATAGTCTACTTTCACTTTTTTGTGACTTATCCCTCATATAGCTTTTCCTTTTCATAAGGTGGTATCTTCTTATAATGCTTTTTCCTGAAAGGCATCATCCTCAGATCATTTCTCAGAGAGGTGCTTCCTACACAGTCATTTGCTCATTCAACAGATAGTAATTGAACATACTACAATTTGCTTTTGTAGCAAATGCCATCATGACCTGTTACATTACTTGACGTCATTTTAGTGTATTTATATGAGATGTAGGTGTTTACTTACCATTCCACTCTAGTTCAGAACTGAGCAGCTGCTTTAGTGTTCTGCTGCTGGCAGTGGTCTACACATGCAAGCATAGCAGTGTTGGATAATTTTGGTTAGTGGTATTTGAAGAATCTTCATGCCAAAACACATAGCTGAGTTTCACTCTATCTTTTAATGTTCATTCAGTGAAACTGAGCATAGGTTTTATTTTTTAAGTTGTCAATAATTAGTGACAACTAATTGACAAGATAGTATGGTATTTGTTAAATGCAAAAAAGATCTTGTTTATATAATTAAAATTTTTGTTTTTAATGAGCTTTAAGGAACTCTTTAATACTTACTGGTTTAAAGTCTTTTACTAAAAACCATTATTTTATCCTATATGAAGAATATGATTAAAAAAATCCTGATGAGGTTTATGAGATGATTTACCATGAAAGGAGTATGTGATCCAAAGGAGACTGAAAATTGTTGGACTAGCATATTATGTATTTTTTTGGTAGAGTTGGCTATATTTTGGGAATTCACTGAGAGACAGTATAACATAGTCATTGAACTCTTCAGAGGAGGCAGATTTGCCTCAGTTCAAATCCGTGACCTTGAGTCAACAAACCTCTGTGTCTTGGTTACTTCCAGTAAAAAACATGGGGAATTACACTTACCTCATAGGTTTTTGTGAGGATTAGGAGTTACTGTGCTTTATAAGCAGTTTTTGATGTTTTAAGAATAAGGAAGAAAAAGGTTTTTAATAAAAACCCTTTCTTGTCTATTGGTTGTTTATTACATTAGTTTGGGGTTATTTCCAAACTTCACTTATGTTCAGCCGTAAATACCTTGTTACTAATAGTTTGTGATTTAGGGGTGATTTGTTGACTCTATTGACTTAGCTTACTTCATGAGTCCACAGCTAGATTCTTTAAGTGGTTTGGATCTTGGTTTTCTAAACAAGGGTACATTTTTCTTTGGATATAATCCTAACAATGAGAGGTTATTTGGATTGAAAGCAACCTTAGGCCTTTATGTCCTTAGATCATAACAACCTAAGTTCTATTGAATGTACTTTTTAAAAAATGTCTTCTTTTTTATTTTAATGGTCATGTAGTTATGAGCACTGTTCTCCTACTTAAATTTCAGGACAGTATCCTTGATGAGCTTGATAAAGAAGAGAGTACCCATGATTCTGTGTCTCAAGAATCAGAGTCAGAAGAAGATGGGATTCATGTAGATTCACAAAAGGCTCTTGCTCTTAAAGAAAAGGTATTCTTTAGGTTAGCATTAGTTTCCTTCATGTAAGCAGGATATGTAGAAAATCACGTAGATCCAATATTTCTTCAGTGTAGTTTGAGAGGTGTTCATACTTTGAGTTATTAGCTGTGTATCTGTATCTAGAAGCAGTATAGCTTGTTGATTAGGAATATTTGCTCTGAAACCAGGTTGTAGGGGTTCAGATCCTGTGACAAGTTCTTTTTTTTTTTTCTGACAAGTTCTTTAATTACTTGTTTTTCAGTTTTCTTAACTGTAAAAATAAGATTAGTATTATTACTAAACCTCAGTGATGTAAAATGTGTGGACTGTGCAGAGTCCTTTTAGGATTTTTTGTAGTCGACTAACTTAAAATCAGCTTGAACCTTGACATGAATATTAAATCCCACTCCTCCATATCACTGGCCTTATTTGATTACTTTTTGGAATGTTACTAAACATCCCTCTTCAGAAAGCCTCATTATAAAACTAAATATTATTGCTTTACAAAAAGGTGGAACTCTTTTCAGATTAAGCTTCATCTTGATGCCTCTCTTTTGTTACCTTTCTGTGGGTTATTGTCAGTCAGACGTACATGATGCTAGGTATGTTACTCATTTTCCTACCAGGGCTTTTGGATTGTGCTCATACAATGACTACTGAATTTCAGCATTTGTTGAAAGGCCATTTTGCTTAATTCTCTCTTCTTTCCTGTTAACCTTGAACACTCAGCTAATGAGTTAGAAAGAGATGCATAATATTGAAAGAAAATGGCTCTACAGTTCTCTGTCAGTATATATCTGACTCATATGTTTTTTCAGGGCAATAAATACTTCAAACAAGGAAAATACGATGAAGCAATCGAATGCTACACCAAAGGCATGGATGCTGATCCCTATAATCCTGTGTTGCCAACAAACAGAGCATCAGCATACTTTAGACTGAAAAAGTAAGGGATTCCCATAACGTATGTGACTATTTTATATGTATATGGAGACTGATTTAAAAAAAAAATTTCATATGTCCACACAATGACAGAATATTCAGTGATCAAAAGGCATGAGTTATTAAGCCATGAAAAGTCATGGAGGAACCTTCAGGTGCATATTTCTTTTTCTCTTTCCCTTTTCTTTCTTTCTTTCTTTCTTTCTTTCTTTCTTTCTTTCTTTCTTTCTTTCTTTCTTTTTTTTTTTTTAGTGTTATTTTTTATTTTCGTAACTCAGCATAGTAAAACATAGAGCCATTGGCTGTCATTAATTTCTTGAACAAAAGGCTATTTGGAAGTATTTTTTTTTTTTTAAGGATTTTATTTATTCATTCATGAGAGACACAGAGAGAGAGAGGCAGAGACACAGGCAGAGGGAGAAGCAGGCTCCATGCAGGGAGCCCGATGTGGGACTTGATCCTGGGACTCAGGTAGGTGCTCAACCGCTGAGCCACGCAGGCATCCCCTATTTGGAAGTATTAAGGACATAATCTTAGAAGAGTCTTTTAAGTGAAATCAGTTTGGCTTTATAAGAATTTACTACATGGCCTGTCTTTTCCCAGTTTTTATCAGAAAGCGGTAAAAACTTGTCCCAGATTCCGGCACTTGCATACAGACTAGCATTTGGGAATCATACATCATAAAAAGATAACTTTCTTCTTTCCTTGAAAATGGGGATGGGATCTTCATATTTTTCCCTCCAAATTTTAATTTAAATTTCAGTTAACATACAGTGTAATATTAGTTTTCAGGTGTCGAATTTAGTGATTCATTGCTTACATACAACATTCACTGTTCATCACAAGTGTCCTTAATACCCAACCTACTTAACCCATCCCCCCACCTACTTCCCCTCCAGTACCATCAGTTTGTGTCTATATTTAAGGTTCTGCTTCTTGGTTTGTCCCCCCCCCCCCCCCGCCGCCATGTTCACTTGTTTTGTTTCTTAAATTCTACACGTGAGTGAAATCATAACAGTATTTGTCCTTCTCTTTCTGATTTCATTTAGCATAATATACTCTAGCTCCACCCATATCGATGCAAATGGTAAGATTTCATTCTTTTTGGTGGCTGAGTAATACTGCATTGCATATATACCACCTTTTCTTTATCCATTTATCAGTGGATGGGCATTTGGGCTCTTTCAATAATTTGGCTGATGTGATAATGCTGCTGTACACATCGGGGTGCTTGTACCCCCTTCAAATCAATATTTTTGTTTCTTTTAGGTAAATACCTAGTAGTGCAGTTGCTGGAATGTAGGGTAGTTCTATTTTTCACTTTCTGAGGAACCTCCATATTGTTTTCCAAGGGGGCTATACCAATTTGCATTCCCACAAACAGTGCAAGAGGGTTCTCTTTGTTGCACATTTTCAGCAACACCTGTTATTTCCTGTGTTGCTAATTTTAGCCATTCTGACTGGTGTGAGGTGGTGTCTCATTGCTGTTCTGATCTGTATTTCCCTGACGATGTGTGATGCTGAGCATTTTTTCATGTGTCTGTTGGCCATTTGTATGTTTTCTTTGGAGAAATGTCTTCTCATGTCTTCTGCCCATTTCTTAACTGGATTATTTGGTTTTGGGTGGTGTGGAGTTTGAGAAGTTCTTTTTTTTTTTTTTTTTTAAAGATTTTATTTATTTATTCATGAGAGACACATAGAGAGGCAGAGATATAGGCAGAGGGAGAAGCAGGCTCCATGCAGGGAGCCCCATGTGGGACTCGATCCCAGAATTCCAGGATCACGCCCTGAGCCAAAGGCAGATGCTCAACCGCTGAGCCACCCCGGTGTCCCAGAGGTTCTTAATATATTTTGGATACTAACCCTTAATCAGATATGTCATTTGCAAATATCTTCTTCCATTCTGTGGGTTGCCTTTTAGTTCTGTTGATTGTTTCCTTCGCTGTGCAGAAGCTTTTTATTTTATTTAGGTCTTTCATCCATTTTGACTTTATTTTTGTGTATGGTGTAAGAAAGTGATCCAGTTTCATTTTTTTGCATGTTACTGTCCAGTCTTCCAATACCATTTGTTGAAGAGACTCTCTTTTTTTACATTGGATATTCTTTCTCTCCTGCTTTATCAGTTTAATTGACCGTATAGTTGTGGGTTCATTTCTGGGTTTTCTATTCTGTTCCATTGATTTATGTGTCTGTTTTTGTGCCAGTACTATACTGTCTTGATGACTACAACTTTGTAATATAGCTTGAAGTCTGCAATTGTGATGCTTCAGCTTTGCTTTTCTTTTTTCAAGATAGCTTTGGTTATTCTGGGTCTTTTGTGGTTCCATACAGATTTTAGGATTGTTTTAGCTCTGAAAAATCTGATGGTATTTTGATAGGGATGCATTAAATGTGTGGATTGCTTTGGGTAGTAGAGACATTTTAGCAGTAGTTGTTTTTTCAGTCTACCAGCAGGAATGTTTTTCCATTTCTTTGTGTCCTCTTCAGTTTCTTTCATGAGTGTTCTCTAGTTATCAGAGTACAGATCTTTCATTTCTTGTTTAGGTGTATTGCTGATATCTTATGGGTTTTGGTGCAATTGTAAATGTGGTTAATTCCTTGATTTCTCCTTCTGCTGCTTCATTATTGGTGTATAGAAATGCAGCAAGTTTCTGTACAGTGATTCTGTATCCTGCGGCTTTACTGAATTTGTGTGTCAATTCTAGCAACTTTTTGGTGGAGGCTTTTAGGTGTTCTGTGGAGAGTATCATGTCATCTGCAGGAGTGGCTGATTTGAATGCCTTTTATTTCTTTTTGTTGTCGATTATTGAGGCTAGGACTTCTAGTACTATGTTAAGTGGTGAGAGTGGGCATCCCTCACTTCTTCTTGACTGTAGGGGAAAGTCTGTTTTTCCCCCTTGAGGATGATGTCAGCTGTGGGTTTTCATGTATGTCCTTCGTGGTTTTGAGGTATGTTCCCTCTATTCCTATTTTATTGAGGATTTTTTTTTTATTGAGGATTTTTATCATGAATTGATGTTGTACTTTGTCAGATGTTTTTTTCTGCACCTATTGAGAGGATCTTATCCTTTTTTTTTTATTAACGTGATGTATCACATTGATTGATTTGCATATATTGAATCACCCTTGCAGCCCAGGAATAATTCCCACGTTTTCATGGTGAATGATTCTTTTAATGTACTGTTGGATTCAATTTGTTAGTATTTTGTTGAGAATTTTTGCATCCATGTTCTTCAGGGTTATTGACTTGCAGTGCTTTTTTTTTTTTTTTTAAAGATTTTATTCATTCATTCATTCATTCAGAGAGAGAGGCACAGACACAGGCAGAGGGAGAAGCAGGCTTCATGCAGGGAGCACGATGTGGGACTCGATCCTGGGACTCCAGGATCACGCCCTGGGCAGAAGGCAGGCGCTAAACTGCTGAGCCACCCAGGGATGTCTGTAGTGCTCTTTTCTAGTGGACTCTTTGGTTTTGGAATCAGCGTAATGCTGGCCTCAGAATAAGTTTGAAAGTTTTCCTTCCATTTCTGTTCTTTTGGAATAGTTTGAGAAGAACAGGTATTAACTCTTCTTTAAATGTTTGGTAGAATTCACCTGTGAAATGACCTGGCCCTTGATTTTTGTTTGTTGGGAGATTTTTGATTACTAGTTGAGTTTCTTTGTTGGCTATCAGTCTATTCAATTTTTTTGTTTCTTCCTGTTTCAGTTTTATATATTATCCATTCTTCCAGGTTGTCCAATTTGTTGGCATGTAATTTTTCATAACATCTGTTATAATTGTATTTCTGTGGTCTTGGTTGTTATGTCTACTGTTTTATTTATTCGGGTCCTTTCAAAACTTTTCTTTTTGATAAGTCTGGCTAAGAGTTTATCAATTTTATTAATTCTTTCAAAGAACTACTAGTTCCTGGTTTCATTGATCTTCTTTTTTTTTTTTTTTTTGTTTCTATATCATTTATTCCTGCTCTAATCTTTATTTTTTCCCTTCTGCTGGCTTTAGGCTTCGTTTTTTTTTTTTTTTTTTCTTTTTCTAGCATCTTTCTAGGTGTAAAGTAAGGTGTGTATTTGAGATTTTTCTTGCTTTTTAAGGTAGGCCTATATTGCAGGACTGCTTTTTCTGTATCCCAAAACTTTTGGACTGTTATGTTCTCATTTTCATTTGTTTCCATGTATTCTTTTATTTCTTCTGTGATTTCCTGGTTGATCCATTCATACTTTAGTAGCATGGTGTTTAACCTCCATATATTTGTGTTCTTTCCAAATGTTTTCTTGTGGTCGACTTCAGGTTTCATAGTGTTGTGGTTGGAAAATATGTGTGGTATGACCTCAGTCTTTTTTTACTTGTTGAGGCCTGATTTGTGACCTAGTATGTGATCTGTTCCCTTGAAAAGAATTTGTATTCTGCTGCCTTAGCATGGAATGTTTTACATATATCTGTTAAGTCCACCTGCTCCACTGTGTCATTCAAAGCCTTTGTTTCCTTATTGATTATCTGCTTAGATGATCTGTCCATGGCTGTAAGTGGGGTGTTAAAGTCCCTTACCATTATTGTATTATTATCAAGTTCCTTTATATTATTAATTATCTTATATGTTTGGGCACTCCCATGTTGGGAGCATAAATATATTTTTAGTTGTTAGATCTTCTTGTTGAATAGTCTACTTTATTATGATATAGTGCCCTTCTTCATCTCTTGTTATAGTCTTTGATTTAAAATCTAGTTTGTCTGGTATAGGTATGGCTACTCCAGCTTTCTTTTGATTTCCATTTGCATGGTAAATGTTTCTCCATCCCCTCAACTTTCAATCTGCAGGTGTCTTTAAGTCTAAAATGAGTCTCTTGTAAGCAGCACATAGATGGGTATTTTTTTTTTTTTTTTTATCCATCCTGACACCCTTTGTCTTTTGATGGCGTATTTAGTTCATTTTACTTTCAGAGTAATTATTGGTAGATAGGAGTTTAGTGTCATTTTCTGTGGTGTTTCTGGAGATTTTGTCTCTGTTC